AAAGAGAAGAGTGAGGGGGGATTTGATAGCTGCTTTCAACTACCTGAAAGGGGGTTCCAGAGAGGATGGATCTAGACTGTACTCAGTGGTGGCAGATGACAGAACAAGGAGCAATGGTCTCAAAATGCACAGGGAGAGGTCTAGGTTGGATATTAGGAAAAAACTTTTTCACTAGGAGGGTGGTGAAGCACTGGAATGGATTCCCTAGGAAGGTGGTGGAATCTCCTTCCTTAGAGGTTTTTAAGGTCAGGCTTGACAAAGCCCTGGCTGGGATGATTTAGTTGGGGTTTGGTCCTGCTTTGAGCAGGGGGTTGGACTAGATGACCTCCTGAGGTCCCTTCCAACCCTGATATTCTATGATTCTATGAATATCCAGCTGACAAAGTGGATAAATCTCCGACGTCATTGCTTGTGGGCCCCTGCTGCAGAGCCGTGTACTGCGCTGCCTCCAGCCCATGTCCTAACACAACCTAGTGTTTTGAGTAAAGACCAACCTTCGTGCGGGCTCAGAACAGATTTAGAAAAGAAGAGAGAGAGCACTTAGGTTCTGCTGACTCTGCCTGCGTTGTTCAGGCTAAGGAGATACACCATACAGGCTGTGTCTTCAACACCCCTGGCCTAAAGATTTTTGCACTTGTCTTGCACTGCGGCCGGTGATGACACAAAATACAGGGCAACATATAACCCGGCCTTTTGATTCTTGCTTCATCCCCTGCCCCCGCTTTCACAGATTTCAAAGTCAGAAGAGGGACCACTATGATGACCAAATCTGACGGCCTGCATAACAGAGGCCAGAGAATCCCATTAAATTTCAGGTTCAATTCTGGCTTAAATTAGTAAGAAGAGAGGCAGCAGACATTTTTCATATTTAAAAAAAAATTATAAATAAAGGAACAAAAAAACTCCAGAGGAAACAACATTAGATATAGGAGACGGGTGGGATGACTCATCAGCATATTTTCTCAGTCCAGCAGGTAGAAAAACCCAGCTTTGAGAGGCCACTGGAATAATTTGAATGCTTAAGGTGTCTGGCTATGATTTGTCTAATAGTTTGTTATCAGGAGATTGGCTTGATCTCCTCTCGTGCTGTGCCTTATGCAAGCTTTGAAAATAATTTCCTTCTGCCTCTGCTTAATGAGCTGTCGGGAACGTTGTCCTATTAAAGTTGTAAATTGCAAAGAGGTTTGTTTCCTTCATAAGGGCTTTTTAAATCAAGCTGCCACCTTGTTTTTGCAACTTTATAATAATAAAATAAACCAGATATGTCAGA